ATAATGATCAAAGCTAATTAAAAATGGAATTTTAGAAATTACTAGCAAAACGGCATGTGGAAAACGCCGCGTAATAATGGCTAAAGGGGAACTGGAAGCGGAAAACAATGCAAAATGTAACATGAAACGTAATGCTCGCAACGGCGGCCGCTTTGTAGCGTATTCTGTCACGTCCATCTGGCGCGCGTGGCAGCCATCAGCCACCAAACGCGCCCTCCGAAACACATGCACGCCGCCCTCTGCGTCCCTCTCTGCCTCTTTGGGGCAACGCCCGCCTCGTAATGCTTCGGAACGTACTGCGTCACGACTCGAAAAGAAAATGCTTTCTTAGTAAGACAGTGTAATAATAAAAAAATTAGAGGTTCACAACGCGACCTTAAAACACACAAAAATATGTAGAACTAAAAAATGACATGGAGCTTGATGAAATCAAACGAATTTTATGAATTGGATTTGTTCATTTGAAGTGTAGTGTAAAATGAGGTGGCATAATAGTGAGGTGGGTAAAGTTAGGTTGTGCTGCGTAAATGTAGTTCCATAAACTAATCTTTTCGTTATTAAACTCATAAACGTTTTGTTTTTCTCATTAACTTTTCGAAGTTTCATTTCATATATTGGTGGTAGTCTCTTGCTGATCGTATTTTCTAGTGAAACATGAATAGGTTTTTGTTTTCTCATTTCGTCTTCCTTCTTGCCTTTTTTTAGAAGTATTTTCGTTTTCTTAACATTTCATTTTAATTAAACTTACGTAATGATAACTTTTTTATTCGGTACACAAACAACACGTTAATTATTTCTCTGCAAAAATTCCTCCACTGTGTTTCCACCGCAAATCCTCACTTTCGTGTTTGCCGTATTACACTTTAACTTAACGATCGAATTCACTTTTAAAGCGAGAGCCTTCTAACACGCGTGCTTCAATCTGGGACTTGTGCACTTTCCGCAAGGCAGGTCAATTTGCCTGGCTCGGTTCCTGGAAGCCCTCGCGCACGTGTCCGCTGCCTGAACGCTTCCCGGCGGCCTTGTTACCACTTCACTCCGTGTGCCCCTGGGAGCGCATTTCCTCTGCTTATCGCGCCAATCTGCGTCTCAATCTCTCGCTAACGCGACGCGCAGTCTTCCCTGGGCGCTCCGAGGGTCTCTCAGGGCGGAGGTCGCTCTCCCCGCCACGTGCACGTGCGTACATCGTTGCTCTTTCGCTCGGCTGCTACCTCGTTTCCTTACAGTGTGTGGCCCTGCCTAATACTATTTCCTTTACACTAAGGCGGAGGATTATTAATGAGACGAATCCCAAGTGTTCTCGAATTTGTGTTAAAATTCGAACACTAAAAGTTCAACAAAACCTTCAAACCTTGCGAACTTGTATTATTTCGATATTTATTTGTGGTGGAATAATTACTGTGCAAAATAATGACATATAGATTCCTAAATTTAAAATTTCCATTTTTTAAAAGAAAGTCCACAATTCCAATTTCTCGTTCCTATTTAGATAGCTGATAACTGTATGCAATTGACATACCCTATCGTTTGGAATGTATGTTAAAATAGAGAAAAAAATGAATTATTTATAATATTACTTGCTGCTATTACGTTGTTCCCATAACAAAACGTTATATTACGAATCATCAATTCCAGTTCCCAAACTATGATCATGACTTCTTCTTGTAATTTTGTGATAATAATTTGCTCCCTTGGAAATGAAAAAAGTACCGCAACGTAAAGAAGTAAATATCAAGTTTTAGGCAAATAAAACTGCGTTTAAATACAGCATTCTAGTCCTTGAAAAGTGGTTTGACCAATGAAATAATCAACTGCATTTCAATTAGCTATTGTCCTGCTTTCACAGCTTCAAGAGATTTCTCCAGAAACTACTAATTTTAAGGTTTGCCATTTTTCTCTCTGGTGATGCAATGTATTTAAATCTATTTTTTTAAATAGTATATTTTTTAAATTCCAAA